TTTTTTTTTTTTTTAATTAAATAAATATAAATATATAATTTTATTTTTAATATTAATTTTTAGTTTATATTTATATTTTAATATAATTTTTAAATGTATCAATGTTTAAAAAAACAATTTTTTTTTGTTAGAAATATTCACAAAATTAATTAAATATTTAAAATTTAAATAAAAATTTAATATTAAATTTTAACGAAAAATTAAAAAAGAAAAAAAAACAAAAAATAAACAAAATAAATCAAAAAAGAAACCAAAAAAACAAATAATAACTAACAAAAAAAATTAAATAAAATCCAAAATAAATAATAATATGATGTAAAATTAATATTTATAATAAGCATTACATTCACCTCATTCTCCAATGATTCGATAAAAAAGCGAAGCTACTAATTTCACCTAATATTTATAATAATAAAGCAAATCATATTTACCATAAAGATACTTGACAAATCAAAGTACCTCTCCTTCTCCACAATAACAATATTATTACAATAAAAATTATCAAAACAATTCTCCACATACAATATAAACAGAAGTAATGAAGACTTAAACGCCCTAAAGTTATGAAAATTTTGATTTTATTTCTTAAAACAGTGGATTAGATATAAATTCAAATTAAAGCTTTTATAATTAATAAAATAAGAACGAAATTTTTTAAAAACCGTTATTTTAAAATAAGTCTTAAAAAACTTTAAGTTATGGAAATACTCTACCATTTAATAATAATAGCTAAACATTTAATGAATAAACCCTTAACATGTTTTCGAATACTTTTAAAGGAAAATCATATTTAAATAAATAAAAATCTATTAATAATAATAATTCTTCTACCCTTTCTTTACAAAAGAAAGTTACTTTAGAGCCTGTAGTTATTTGCAGATAAATGTCAATACACCATACTCCAAGTAATTAAAATAATGATAACACTTATAATTAAAATTTTCAAAAAGATTAAGATGAATAGGAAATATAATATAATAAAATTAATAATAAAACAATATTTGATAATCATAATTTTTATGTTCCCAAAAATAAAACAAATAAAGACATGAATTTAAATAATTATAAGAATAATTAATTTCATCAATAGTTTTAGAATTTAGAAAAATAAATAAATTAATTAAAAGATATAGATTAATATTAACAATAAAATATACATTTTACATAATAAAAACAAATGTTTTTTAATTAATAAATATAATAATAGCGACAATAGCTTTAAAACAAAGGATTATAATAGTTTTAACCTAAAAGTGACAGCCATATATAGTTAATTTCCTAATTTAAAAAGGATAACATCCTTAAAGACAAATTAAATAATTAATAAAAAGTAATCTTAATAAATAATAATCTTGAATAATTAACTTTTGTAGATAATAAATTATAATTTAATAATAACTATTTTGAAAACAAAGAAAATATTTGTAGCAATAACTGTATAGAGAACGTATAATAAGCAAACAAAGTTAGCCAAGAAAAATATTTTAAATCTATAAATGGTATAAATAAAAGCAACTAATTAAATTATATAAATTAAGAAAAAACATAAAATTTCGTTTGTCTAAAATAACAAGATAAGAATACACATATAAAGCAAGAAGTATAATTTTATTTTTATTTTAATAAAAAAACCAAATTATATAAATTTAAAGAAATTGTAAAAATCCTCAAAGTAATAATAAGACATTGAAAATTTTTTTTTAATTGAAAGTAGTAATTTAAATGAAGTAAACAAAATAAAAATTGAAAAAAATTTAATTTATATAAAAATTAAAAGTAATGCAACAGTAATTCTTCAAAAAAAAATACAAGTTTTCAAGAAGAAAAACAATAGACACCAAGCTTTAAAGATATTCCAATAACAAATACTAATGAATAACTATAAAAAAACACAAATCCTAATCAGACAACGCCTTTTACAAAAAATGAAGATTTATAAAATAAAAACTCATAAACAAATATCAAATAAAATATAGAACATTAATAGATAAAAACACCATCTAATTTTCAAAAATAATAATTAGAAAACATAAATGAGAAAGAAAGTGAAAACTCATCTACAACACAAGAATAAAATTCTAGTTCAAATAAAAATTATTAATAATAATAATAATAGTAATAGTAATTTTAATAAAAGTAATAATCTATTCATAAATTAAGCAACGCTAAGTAAAATTTTTAAGAATTTTCTAATAATTTAAAAGAAAATAACTACGGAAATACTTCTCATTTCGGAATTGTTACAGGCAGCTAAGAAAAATAAAATTAAGAATATAATATTTAAATGGAAAATTCAAGCTTTTAATAAATCGAAAGTAATTTTAAGAAAAACAAAAACCTCTCAGTTAATATTTTCTCAGATTTAACATTAAGCAAACTTGAAGAAAATTTTTAAAAAGAAGAAATAAATAATCTATAAAATGAATAAGAATAAGAAAATTAATAAATATAAGAATACACTATGAATTCTCGAAATGATGAAAAACCTAAAAAAAATTAATAAATAATATATGAAAGTTTATAATAAGATTAAATGATATAAAAAAAAAATGAAGAAGAAAGAAAAAAATACTAAAATAGTACAGTTGTTTTTGAGAAAAATACAGATTCTTAAAGAAAGGAGGTATGTACATAAAAAATAAACAAGAATGAAGATACAAATATTTGTAGAAATTTAACTATAGAAATGTAACAAGAAATAAAATAAGAGGATTAATAATAAAGCAAAAAACTAATCGAAATGAAATCACCTGTTTAAATAGAAAATAAAACTCCTTAAAATTAAAATAGTTAAAGAAATTCAATTCATATTTCTAAAACAATTCTTAAAAATTCAATAAATTCACCTATTTCATCATCTTTGAAAGTATTTTTTTTATTTTCCCCTTACAAAATTTTTATTTAAATAAAATAAAAATATTTAGAAATCTCTTAAAAAAATAGCTTTTAAAGAAGAAAATGAAGTAAAAGTTTTCGAAAAAGATTCTCCTTCTAAAATAAGAAGATCTTTTAGTCTTTCTAGTTTTGAAAATTAAAATAAATTAAAAAAAGATGAAAAAAAATTATAAAATCTTTATTCAAATAAAAAATCTGACAAAGAAGAATTAAAAAAATATGATGATTATATGAATGATTAATAAAATAATAAATAATATTAAAAAGATGAAGAAAAAGAAGAAGAAGAAGAAAAAATAAAAGATGAAAAAGAATAATAATAAAAAAATGAAAATAATTTTTCAATTTAAAAATAAACTAGTATCAAAAATGAAAAATCATCTGAACAATAGCAATTTGTTACGGATTCACCTAAAATATAGTTCATTAAAAAAGTTGAAATTCAACCCAGATTAATTAATTTTTCAAAAACAATTACTGATAATAGGAAATTAAAAAAATAAAAAACCATGAGTACTATATTTAATAAATATATTAATTTATAACTATTATATATTATAAATTTTCTTGTTACAAATTTTATTTTAATTTATTTTATTTAAAAAAAAAAAAAAAAAGATTTTCTTGAATATGCTAAAATCGCAAAAAAAAATTAAAATTGAATAAAGAAAAAATAGTATAAAATAAAAAAGTAGTATGTGTTTATAAATTTTATTAATTATGTTATTTTTTTTTAATGTCTTTGTTAATAATTTTTGTATAAATTTTGTTATTAAAATTAAAATAAATAAACCAAAATAATGAAAAAAAAAAAAAAAAAACCAATAAAAATAATTAAGTATGATTATGAATAACTTAATAAATTATATAATTATAGTTATAAATTAATAAAAAATAAACTTATTTTATTTTAATTAAAAGAAAATTAAAATATATATATATATATATAACTAAATAAAAATGGGTTGTTTTCTAAATAGAAGTAATAATATATAACCAAAATAAATGCCGAATAAGTAAATAAAATCAAAAGCGTAATTAGAATATGAATTAAATAATTGTTACTATTATTTTAACAACATATCGAACTAATTAATAAAATCCGAATAAAATATAAATTTATTTACTGATAAAGATATAAAATAAAAAGATTATTATGATGCATATTAAAATTATTTAAAAGAAGCTACAAATTAAAAATTAATAGATGAATTTTAAAGTTTTTTTAAAGCGATTGATGAAGCAAAATAATTATTTCCTTAATTACTAAATTAATGCTCAAAATTACAATAATAACTTCCTAAAAGAAAAAAAGATATTATTGGATTTTAAAAATAAATATAAATTTATCTATAGTATTGTTAAAATATATAAACTACATCACAATGATAAATTATAAATTTTAGATAAATATATATTGTTTAAATATTTGTTTTCTTTATTTTATAATTATATAGTTGTTTTTTTATAATGAATAATAATATAATAATTATTTGGTGTAATATATATTTAAATTTTCAATATATAATTATTTTTATATTAAATTAATTGTAAAATTACAATATACATTAATAATTTATATCTTAATTATATATATATTTTATATATAATATAGGATTATTATTATAATATTAATTATTCAATATCGTAAAAAAATATATATATTAATAGTAATAATTAGTATTAATTAGAATAGTTTAATTCTATATTTGAAAATTGTCAACTAAAAATAAGATAAATTTATATTTAGTTAAATTGATAACTTATAAAATTAACGCATTATTCTATTGATTTACTTAAAAAAATTTAAAATATTCTAATAGCTCTATAACTTTATGTAACATTAAAAAAATATAAAAATAAGATTTTCAATTTTTAAAAATATTATTTTTATTAAATAAAAATATAAATTATACATTATCTATTTTATTACAAAATTAATTTAAATAAAATATTTTTTTTTTTGTCAATATTTTAATTATTTAGGAAGTTTAAATATAAATTTATTATAAAATTATTTATTAATTTTTCATTAATTTTTTTAATTTAATAAATATATGTATTATATATTTAATAAAAAATAAATTATAAAATAAAAATGGAAATACATTACGGACTAATAATAGCAAATAAATTTCATTTGGAAGAAAAACTAGGATAAGGATCATTTGGTTTAATATATCGTACCCAAAATTTACAAAACAAATAAATATATGCAATAAAATTTGAAAAACGTTCAAAAAAACAATAAAATATGTTAATACGTGAAATAAAAGTACTAACAGAATTAAAAGACGAAAACGGCTTTGCAAGGCTAGTAGCATATGGAAAAATTGAAAATTATAGTTACATAATAATGAGTCATTTAGGCAGAAATTTAGAATAATTATTGAAAATTTGTGGAAATAAATTTACTTTATAAACAGCGTTATATGTAGCAGATTAAATGTTAAGCAGAATAGAAATATTACATAATCATAATATTATTCATAGAGATATAAAACCTGAAAATTTTGTGATTGGTTAATAAGGAAACTATAAAAATGTTTATTTAATTGACTTCGGTTTAGCAAAATATTACAAAGATAATGAAAATAACCATATTAAAATGTGTGAAAAAAAAGGAATGATAGGTACTGTTAGATATGCAAGTACAAACGCTCATTTAGGAAATGAATAATCAAGAAGAGATGATTTAGAAAGCATTGGTTATGTAATAATATATTTAATAAGAGGTAAATTACCTTGGTAGTCTATTCAAGCTGCTTGTAAAGAATATAAATTTGAGAAAATAAAATAAATGAAAATGAATAACTAAATAGAAACTTATTGTGAAGGATGTCCTTTAGAGTTAACGGAATATTTTAAAATTATAAAAAAATTGGATTTTTGTGATAAACCAAATTACACTGAATTAAAAAATTTACTTAAAAAAGCACTTTTTGTGGAAAAACAAAGCACTGATGTTCATAATTTTAATCTTGATTGGGAGAATTTACCTGAATATAAAAAAGTTAAAAAATATCGTGAAAGTTAAACTGAAGTTTAAATTAAATAAAACATTGCTACTAGTATTAAAAGTCTTAAAAAATAATCTCCAACTAAAAATATGACTTCTGCTTAAAGAACTATAAAAGAATCTTTTAATAATATTATTAATTCTTAATCAAATATAAAAAATATGGATTTAAATCTTATTTAATAATTAAATTTGAAAAATGAAGCTTCTAAAAGTACTAAAAAAAATCAAGTAAAATAATTACAATCCTAAATTTCATAAAAAAATATTAATATAAAACAATAAAAATCGTCTCAATAATTACTTTATTTACCCAAAACTAATCAATCTATTTAAAGTATTGTATAAAGATCTACAAATTCAAAACTTAATAATTACAGTTTATCAGATTCCGATTTTATTGAAGATGAAGTTAGTATTTAATTCAATACTTTAATTGATAGAAATTAATATTGTTTAAGCACTTAAGAAATTAGGAAAGATATAAGATATTCGAGCTAAGTAGCACTTTAAAGTCATAATGATTTTGATCTTGGAGAATATTAAAGAAGTAGAATGTATTAAATGAACCCTTCTTTAGTTTATTTAGAAGAAGAATATAATCTAAATTTGTAGAAACACAATTCGAATATTAATAGTCATAAAACTTATAATTCTTAAGGGGATGAAAATCTTACTGAGTCTAATAGTGGAATATAAGTTAATATTTAAAGTATTCCTATAAAAGCTTTTAATCAAATGTGATGGATGGAGGAATGATATTGATTTTTTATTTTTATATATACTTTCTAAACTTAATTGATAAATTTATATTGTAAAATTAAATAATTCTATTTTATTATGTATTTATGAATAAATAAATATATTTAAAATTATTTATAACTAGTAAAATTCATTATATAAATTTCTATTTTATTTAAATATAAATTATCTAATAATGAAATTTTTAAATGTTTTCAATAAAATATTAAGATTAAAAAATAAAATAAATAAATAATTCTTTATACAAATAAAAAATAAAATAATGATATATTTTTATTAACATTTCTTTTTTTATTAATATAAACTTTTGTTTTATATCAATTATAAAATTAATTATTAAGTTGTATTTCAAAATCTTTAAAATTTTAAATGCTTTTGTAATTAAAAATTATCTAAAAGTTTTATAAGAACCCTTTCAGCAGTTTCTAAATCAATTAATTTTTCAGCCAATATTCGCAATGCATCTAATTTTGAATTAACTCTTAAAATATTAAGTATAGTATTAATAAAATTTTAGTTTTCATCATTTTTTATTTCCAAATAATCCTAAATAGTTTATTTTAACCATTTCCAGGATTATTTTAAACTGGGTTAATTATTCTAGAAAAAAAAATCAGGATGACATTTAACAACCATTTAAGTAATACATTCTGTAAATTTACTTAAATTTTTATTTTCTTCTTTTAAATTTTAAATAATTTATGGCAAATATTCTATATTATCATTCTTAAATAAACTTTGAATTTCTTACAAAACAAATTATTTTTTTTACATTTTATTATTGTTTTTTAATAAGTTTTCTTAGTTTTGTTAAAAGTCGAATTATTTATTTGAATATTCAAATGAATCTTTGCTTTCTCTAATATTTTATTATTCTAATAAAAAATGTATTTTTTATTCTAGTTCGATTTTTTCTTTATCATATTGTATTTATAATATATTATATTATTTTTATATTTCTAATATGCTTTCTTTTTATTATGCATTTTCTTCTTATAATTAAAAAATTATCTAGTTTAATTCAAATATTTAATTTAGCTAAATTAACGCATATTTTCTTAATTTTCCTTTAATTTAATTAGTTCTTTTTAGTTTCTTTCTAATGCTTCTTATAATTCTGATGTATAATTTTACATTTAATTTAATAATTCATTTTTTTAACCTAGCTTTTCAATTAATTATCGGTATGTTTTTTTGTTTTCTGTTGAAATTTCGAATGATTATTCTTATGATTTTTAATGGGTTTTGTTTATTAATTCTTCGGAATTAGCTTATTCGAAATAACTTTCCTAGTTTTTTATATCTTTATGAATTTTATTTATTGCTTAATTATTCATTATTTGTAAATTAGATATTTTTATAAAACGACTAATAATTTGTATTGTTATTAATATATTTTTAAAGATTTATTTATGTATTTAAAAATTTTATATTAATCTGTTTCTTTTTTTTAAATTTTTAAAAATAATTTAAATTTTTTTTTTTTAAAAAAAAAAAAATTATAATAATTTTACATTCTACTTGTATATAAAACTAATAATAATATTTAATTATTATTTATTTTTTGTTATACCAAAAAAGAAGAAAAGAAAAAAAAGAAAACTTTTTTTATTTAATTATAAATTTAATATTATTTTATATAAAAAAAAACAAATAAATAAAATAATTTTTTAATATAATATTAAATAAAATTATATATAATAACAAATATATTTATTTACTCGTGTTTATATAAATTATTGAAAAAAATAATTAGCAAACTATGGATAGAATAAATTAAAAAATAAATCATTAATTTTTATATTTATCATTCTAATCTACATAGACGATTTCTTTAACTCTTTTTTTAAATTCTAACTAAATATCCGGATCTAAAATTTCTTTTAATTTATTTTTCACCAATTTTTTAATATCTTCTCTTGTTTAAGTATTTTAAACATAAATTAATTACTGAAAGAATTTCTTCTAATTTATAAAAAACTAATGTACTTTTCTATTTTCCGAAACCAAATTTTATGCCGAAAACTCCAGTACTAAATAATCTTAATCATCATTAATTTAATAAACTAAATCGTTATAAACATAAACTTTTTCCTCAATAAAATTTTCATTTTCTTCCTACTTAATTTTATCATTATCTGGATTATATTTAAATTCAAATACTTTTTCAGGTTAATCTTTATAATATTTTTTTATTAAAATAAATAAATTAAAATAAAAATTACATTCTCTCATATTTTCTTCGTAATTAATATCTTCATTTCTATTATTTAATAAGGAAAAAGTGTCATTAGAATTTTACTATTCTTCCTCATTGACAATAATATTATTATTAAAATTATTTTACCCTTAACTTGCTATATCAGTATTAGATTGTAATTATTACTATTCTTTTAAAATCGCTTATTTTACTTTTTTAGAGACCCTATTTAACAATAAATTTTATTAATTTTTCATAACCTATCCTACTAAACCTTAATTAATATAATTTTCTTCCGAATTAACTTATTCGTATTACATTTTAGTATTTTTGAATCTTACAATAAGCTTAAAAGGATTACCAAAAGGCATATTTTCTTTGACATATTTAATTTCATCATCATCTTATGCGAATTCCCGAATTTCTTGACTTTTTGGAGATCTTAAAAGTTCACTCATTTTCGAAACAGGCTCATTTTTGCTCAAAAAACCATAAATTTTATCCCCGTAAAGATTTTTATGAAAATATTTCTAGTCTGAATTCAAAAGGGAATTTTTTTATTACAAAAGATATTCTAACTCAATACTTTTAGCATTTTTTTAATTTATTAAACGATTATTTTCTTCATAATTAGAAGAATATATCGCACAACATAAAGATTTTTTATTTTAATGTTAAATTCGGCATTATTTTATATCTTCATCTTATTTTTTTCTATCTTTTATTTTATTTTTTAGTACATTTTTTATGATTTCTTATTAATAAAGATGTTCATATTAAAAAGTTAGTTTTTTTTCAGAAAGTTAAAGGAAAATGCTTTTTTCTTAAAAAATCTTCTTTAGTTAATTTTAATAATATGTGGGTGTTTTTTTACAATATTTTTCGATTTTTTCTATTATCTCAGATGGATTTTTAGTTATTAAACATTCTTCATATATACTGTTCAATTCTATGAAACTCCAAATATTATATAATAAATCAATTTATTAAATAGATTAGTCTTTTATTAGTATTTTTAGTAAACCGAATAAATTATTTTCGAAATAAATAGGAAAATACGCCTTTTCTTTTATAAATGGAATTATTTAGCAAGCTATTTGTTTTGCCCATTCAGCATTTGGCTCTAATTCAAGTTTTTCAAATTCAAGATCTTTATTCATATTGGCATGAAATATTTTAGAAAAGTCAATAGTAAAAAGGGGATAATCATTAATATAATATTAAAATTATTACTATTATTATTATGTTTAGAACGAATTATCGGCTACTTTTATTGGATGTTCCTTTTTTTTTCAAAAAATAAATAAATAAATTTATTTTAATTCTTTTTTACAGGTAATAAAATTCGACTATATTATTAATGAAAAATTTCAGGTTTAGTTTTGATTTAATGGAAATTTTTGTTAAACTTAGTCGAAATTTTAATAATAAAAGTATTAGGGAAAGCAATTAATGGATTACTTATTATATTTTTAATATCGGAAATTCCACTATCTAAAAAATAGAAATTTTCCGGCTCATTTTTGCATACAGATTATAAAAAAATGTTCAATCTAACTTTATTAAATACAGGAATTATTTAAGAATCTATTAACTAAAACATCTATTCATAATTAAAAATTTAAAAAACATTTCCCCCTAAATAATTAGATATATTCTCAAACATATTTAATATTTAAAAATTTCTACTTTTGAATTCATTACAAATACTTCTCTCTATTTTAGATTCGAAACTAATTTATAATATATATAGATTTTAATCCCATCTATTATTCATTCTTCTCTCAATAATGCATTTTTATATTTTATCCAACTCAAAATAGTTACAAACATCACTAAATAAAAATATTATACTCGGATCTGTTTTTAATGGATCTCTTCCCCCACATATATTATCAGAACCATTTAATATTCGAAATTCATTTATTTATTTATATACTTAATGCATTGTTTGTATTACATTAGTAAATATCTAAGGTTTTATATTTCTTAATTGGTAAAAAAAATGTGACAAATCATGCTTAAATGAACTTAAGCAAAAACTTTATAAACCTTTGTTACTAAAACTAGTCTAGAACAAATGATATGTATCAAATTTGCTTTCTTAATTACGTAAACGTTACTTTATTATATATTCTATGCCATTTTTTTAAATTTCACAAATTGTTAATCCATTATATGTTTTTTGATCTGATGATATTGAATTATCAATTATAAATATTACGTTCATTTATTTTTAGATTTTTATGTTTTGTTTTTATGCTAATATTTGTCAATATTTAGTTTCTAACTAAATTCGTTTATATATTTAGATTATTTCTTTTATATTTTTTTTTTTAAAAAGATATTTGCTAAATAAATATATTTTTCACATTTAAAAAAGTAAGAAGTAAAATTAAATATTATTTTTAAGATTAATAATTTATATGGAATATAAATGAAAAAATATAAATAATTAAATTATATACTTAAATTAAAAATAATATATTTTTATTGCTTAAATTTGAGATTATTAAAAAAAAAAAAAATATATAGGTGAAATAAAATATAAATGCTTTTAAGAATTAGATATTTCATATTTATAAATAAAACATCAGTCGTTTAATGCCTATTCTCTCTCCAATTTAATATAATTTTAGTTTATGTTTTTAAGGTATTTATTTTCTATGGCCGATTCTTCGATATCATCATAAACAGGATTGTTAATATAACCATCTTTTATATTCTCTTCGCTTCTTAAGCTCTCGTCTTTATCTTAATAATATTAGGCAAATTCATAATCTTTTTATTATTCTTATTATTATTATTATTATTAAACGCTATTATTAATAATTACGTATTGTTTCTTTTTTTTATAATTTCTGATAACAATATAAATCAAACATAATAAAAAGAAACTTGAAATAATAATAATAATAATAATGAAAAATTCTTTTTTATTTTTAAATAATTTGTTTATATAAAAATATTTATTTATAAATAATAATAATTATTACTATTTTATTCTAAAAATTTTTATTTTTTATTACCTTAATTTTTCCTTTAATTATCAATTTAATTTTCTTTTTATTTATATTTTTCGTTTTCAGTCTTATTATTATTACCATTATTACCATTATTACTATTATTACCATTATTACCATTATTACCATTATTACTATTATTAGCATTATTAGCATTATTAGCATTGTTAGCATTATTAGCATTATTACCATTATTACCATTATTACCATTATTACCATTATTACCATTATTACCATTATTACCATTATTACCATTATTAGCATTATTAGCATTATTACCAGTATTATTATTATTACCATTATTTTTGTTATTACCATTATTACCATTATTATCATTATTACCATTATTACCATTATTACCATTATTACCATTATTACCATTATTACCATTATTACCATTATTACCATTATTACCATTATTACCATTATTACCATTATTATTGTAATTATTATTATTAATACTATCATTTATATTATCATTATTATTATCATTTTTTTAATTATTTTTTTAAATAGATATATCGTCGAAATTTTTATTTGTTCCATATAAATTCATTTATTTTTTAAAATTAATTACATTTTTAATAAAAACACCATCTTTAATAGTTTTTTAACCTTGTGACTATTTTAATTCATATGAATTGAACTAATACCTTCATTAATACATTTAGATTTCGTGAAATGAATTTCATGATTTTATCTATCAAAAAGAACATCATAATTTTTCATAAAAGGTCCTGAAAGATAAATTTTTCCACTATTGTATGAATCAAATGCGAATTCATATTAATTATTTTTAACTTCATATAAATAGGCATCTGCAGTCCATTCGATTTTAACATTATCATTTAATTTAATTTATATCATAGGAAAACTGTTGAAAAAATTTTATAATGTTTTGAATTTATAGCTATCATATTAAAATCTAGTTTATTAATTATCTGTTTTATCTTTTCCACCACAATTGTATTGAGTTAAACATAATTAATTTATTGATTAAATAATAGGCCTATTTATATTATTAAAAAAATATTAAAATAAATATAGATAATAGATAATACAGAATAAAATTATTAGGACCTAATACAATAGTAGTTCCAGAATCAATTAAAGTTTCATAATTTAAATTACACGGTATTTTTTTATTATTAATCTTAATAAAAAAATAAAAAAAAATTAAATATATGTATATATATATATATATATATTATATATATATTTATATTTATAATATTTATATATTTATTTAATTTTTACATAAACAGATTCAATTTTGACATTATAATATTCTGCATTTTTTGGATATTTTAATACTTAAATTTTTTCATCAGGTAAATGTAATTCATAATTATATCCTCCAATACTCATATATCCACCTTTTTACCAATGTAAGCAAATTGAAAAAGCTAGTTTTTCTCCATTTAATTTATGTTGTTAAAAAATTTAATCTATTATATTTGGAACACCTTTTTTAGTTCCTGGCGATAAACCAACAATTCCATCTGGAACCTGACTTTTAAAAAGCCTAGTTTCTCTAGTGGTACATCCAAATATAATTTAAACTCCTTCATGGTGTATATATTGAATATACTATTCTTCTTCTTAAAAAGTTAGTGTATTATTTTTTTGCTTTTAAATATATTCATTCATCTCGTCACCTAAAATAACATTATCAGTAGCTAAAAAACCCCCTATAGTAGAACCTTCCGCATATGATACTGACCAAGAACAAACGTCATCAAAACATTTATATTATGGACATGTAAAATCTCCAAATTTGGCTGAACAAGATATCTATTTAGATGTGTAAGAATTATTTAGTTCAAAAGGAGAATTTAAATGTTGACCACAATCATTTTTTTTACAATCAGAACATGGAAAAGCTAATAAATTACTTCCTGTATCAATTATGGCCGCTTAGCGTTAAGGAGGAGTACCCATATATAAGTTTACCCAAAATATAGTATCCGCAGTGCTCCCTTCTAATTTTACTGTGTGAATTCGTTCATAAAAATATTCATTAAAATCATTTATTTCATGAGTTTAGCCTTCAGAAGTCTTATATTAGAAATTTTCTTTTGACGTTATAGCAACTATTTATTTTAATATATTTATTAATGTATTAATTTTGGATAATTTTTAAATTAAGATTTTTTTGTTACATGTAGATAATAGGAATGATAATAGATATAAAAGGAATTAAATTGTTAACATTTTTATTATATGTATATTTTTATTGTTATATTAAATAAATATAATTTTATTTAATATGCTATTATTTTTATAATTTTTATGTATATATTAATATAATTATTTTAACTTTT